ATGCTGTCTTTTTTAAATATAATTAACTTGCCCCCAACTCAAAATAGCTGTCTGTGTCACATTCATTGCAGAATCTCTATTCCTTTGTAATTTTTTTTTTTTAAAAGTAGGCTTTTTTTTTTCTTCCCCTCTATAACGCTTCTCTGCCTCCCTCTCCTTTCTGCATTGCTCATTTTAATTTTTAATGTCTCACTGTGGTCATCGGATTTATTTTTTACTTGCATTGTAAGATTTATCTTCAGTGAGATTCCGTGTTATTCTAGGAAGTGGCAATTTTGCCTACTCTGGGACTTCAGCAACTGTGGGCAAGGAACTGAGCGTGGATGTTAACCTCATGTAAACTCAAAATGGACAAAGCAATATTAATGACCATAAAAAACAAGCCAGCTGCCCTTGAGTCGATTCTGACTCATGGCAACCCCATGTATGTCAGAGTAGAACTCTGCTACATAGGCTTTTCAATGGCTGATTTTTCAGAAGTAGAACCAGGCCTTTCTTTCAAGGTGCCTCTGGGTAAAATCAAACTTCCAACCCTCCTGATAGCAACTGAACATGTTAACTGTTTGCAGCACCCAGGGACTCCCCATTAAGGACAGGGGAGTATTCAATAAGTGCAATAGGCGCCTGGTGATTCATCTTTGCTCAAAAAAGTATTTGCATCACTTCCACAGCAATGGGTGAAATCTATGAAAGGGGAGATTAAACTTTAAGAATAATCTTGGGGCACTATACTTTGCCCCAGGTGCCAGTGAACCTCCTCCTAAAAGCCACTTAAAATAGAAAGGAGAAATTGCAAAATGGATGTCCCCATACTGCAGATGGCTGTGAAAAGCTGATGAAAGGGGCAGCCAGCCATTTGTTTAGGCTGGTAATCTGTTTATTTCCTGAAAGCTCAACATGCACTTATAGACATATATATCCTTTGCATTGAAATACAAATTTATATCTAAAATAAATTATTTAAAAATCGACTCTGCATTTGGAATTCTGAAGATAAAAGAGAATTTAAATCTCCCAAAGGTTGAAATTGCTAAGACAAAACAGCAAAGTGGAAGGTAGCACATAAGGTACCTCCGGCACCCGCGCCAAGACGGAAGAGGCTGAGAGTTCACTTTCAGTTCTGCTCCTGAACAGCTGCATTATTGGAGGCGGGCCCACAAGCCTCTCTGAGCTGGTTTTCTCATGCAGCCTTCATTCAGTCAGCCAGCCTTGGTCAAAATTAAATAAATGGCTTTTCTTATCATTTCAAACAAATTCATTACGGTAAAACAGAAAATACAAACAAGCAAAATAAACCTGCTTCTTGACATAGTTCATACTTAGGAAGAGGAGAGAAGCTGACATTATTGATTGTCTCCTACTTGTAAGAACTGAATTAAATTTCCCCGAGCAAGCCCAGGAGACAGGAATTACTATGGCAAGTTCACAGAGGAGGAAATGGGCTCAGAGAACACATGAGGAACGTTCCCAAGGTCACAGTCACCATAAAAGTCAAGGTTTGCAGTTCACTCCTTATCTCTGTAGAACCAAAACTCAGGTTACTTTTTATGTTTTTTTTATTTATTTATTTTTCCTACACAACTCCTTCTGAACTTCAGAAGGGAAGTCCTGAATTTGGAGACAGTTTCTCTTGACTTCTTCCATTCCTGGTGCCAAATGTTTTCCATCTGCAGAAATATGCCTCAGCCAGAAGGAAGAGGCAAGAATGAGCCTATAATATTCTTAGCAGTGCTATCAGGGAAGTGAGTCACCTCGGTTATATTTGGGCAGCTCCAGCCAGGCCTGGCCTTAGCATGGCCCATGCCCCACCCTGGGTTGTGCATGGGCTGCAGAGAGTGCTCCCTCTTCTTCAGGTCCTTAATGACCACCAACTCCCCAGAGGGCATGGCAGAAATATTTATAGCAGGCTGCCTGTTGACATGGGACCTTCAGTCTTCAGAAGGCTTCCCTCTGCAGCACGTCATTGAATCTCCCTTCCATCCTACCTATTCAAGAGCTGAGAAAAGAGAGGCCCGGAAGGGCTAAACCAAGTTTCTAAGGCTGCCCAGGAATTTCATGACTGAGCAGAAACATCAGTGTGAATCTTCTGACTCTCCAGTGGATGCACTTTGTAAAATACCTGTTAGTGCCCATGTCCTAAAGGGGTTGGTAGGGTTGTAGCATGGACTGTTATGACAAGGGCTGGTGGGTAGGGAAGGAAGAAGGCTGGAATAGGGATGAAGACCTAATCTACCTGTTGGGGCTGGCACTATTGGAGGTAGGGAGTGGTCCAGTGTAAAATGATCAGTGAGTGTAAGTAAATGCCAATAATTGTTGATCTGAGGGTGGAGAGTCGTGACTAAGGGTGTGGCCATGCAGGTCTACCCATGGCAAAGAATCAGGGGTCCTAGTGCTATGTCTATTGATATATTTACAGCAGAGCCCAAACCAGCCTTCTGGAAGATAAGAGGAGTAAGAAGCTATCGTTCCAGACCTAGCCCAGGTGTTGAGATCTCGTCCAACGCACTCAGGTTCAGAGGTCCTGCAGTAGATTGGGGCCCACATTAATAGGAGCTAAAATGCAGTGACTTGGGCCAAATGAACACCTGGGCCTTCCCAAACATGCCTAATACCGATTCTGTTCACAAAGTCAGAGGCTTACTCTAACTAGGAGGAAGGTGCCAAATGAACACCTGGGCCCTCCCAAACACGCCTAATACCGATTCTGTTCACAAAGTCAGAGGCTTACTCTAACTAGGAGGAAGATGCCTGCCCTGACTGGCCCAGGCCCAGCAGCAGCCTGGGGGCCTCTGTGTGGGTCCTTTCAGAGAGGAGGCTGACAACAGCTCAGCAGGAGAGGCCAGCTATTCTGTTTGGAATACTCTCTGCATTGGATGTTCCTCAGCCAGGACAGCCCATCCTCCCTTCCTTCCAGGAATCAGATAGTGCTGAAATCCTGTTAACACTATTTGGTTATCAGTTCACAGACTGAAATTTTGCTAGTGTAGCAAAAATGATGATGTGCCCAGGGTGCCTTGCTCTTTCTATCCTGGGAGACTGTTACGCAGCTAACAGGAGATGTAGGGCATAAGAGGCCAGGGCCCTGCATGCCTGTTGCTTGCAGGGGTGGAGTCAGAGGTCACTCTAAGAGTTCGATTATTCTTTTTTCTTTCTTTTTTAATTTTTCTTTTTTTGAGCCCCTAAGAGATTCCTCAGGAGCCCTGGTGGTGCAGTGGTTAAGTGCTCAACTACTAACTGAAAAGTCACAGTTCAAACCCACCAGCTGGTCCACAGAAGAAAGATCTAGCAGTCTGCTTCTGTAAAGATTTACAGCTTTGGAAACCCTATGGGGCATTTCTACTCTGTCCCATAGGATTGCTATGAGTTGAATTCAACTCAATGGCAAAAGGTTTGGTTCTTTTTTTGTTTATTAATACGTCCCTGTTTGGCGCAAACTGTTTGTGCTCAACTACCAGCTGAAAGGTTGGCAGTTCGAACCCACCCAGCAGTGCCGTGGAAGAAAGGTCTGACAATCTGCTTCCATAAAGATTATAGCCAAGAAAACCCTATGGAGCTCAGTTCTACTCTGTAACTCATAAGGGTCACCATGAGTTGGAACCAACTCGACAGCAACTGGTTTCGTTTTACTATATGCCTGGCATGGTACTGAAAACCCTATGGAGCAGTTCTACCCTGTCCTGAAGGGTCACTGTGACTCATAATTGACTCAATAGCAATGGATTTTAGCATAATATTAAGGAGAATAAAAGAAAATGCAAAAGGAACTAAAACTTATTAACTGTCCTGGGTTTAAATAAATTAAAAAAAAAAAAGGATGAGGAGGACAAGGGAAATGGCATTTAGGTGTGTGCTGACTGGGCCAGACAGACACTGTGTTAGGAACTTTCACATTTCATTCAATCCTAGCCCGAGAGGGGTCAACTAGTCCCATTAAAGAGAGGGACCTGAGGTATAACAAATGGTTCTGCTCTCAAGTCATTATTTATTTGTTCATTTTGTTTTTAAAAGTAGAAAGAGAGAAATAGTACCTACTCTAGGGGAATAGTTGTACAGAGATGGGGGGTGTTGACATCAAGTAGCACAAGCAGAAGGTCAGAAATGGCGGAGACTCCTCCCACTACATGGGTTCCCAGGAACAGTAAGAAATGAAGAATCTTTCCAAAGGTCATTTGACAGAGATATGACCCAGATCACATAATATGTGATCCATAGGGTCCCTGCTCTTTCCTTGGGAAGGCTTCTTGGAAGAATTACATGGGGCTGGAGCATGGAAGCCAATGGATATAACAAGAGCAGGACATTCTGGGCAAGGACGTTCAAGACAAGTGGTGATGTAGTGGGATGTGAGGAGACACAGACAAGAAACTTGTCTACCGGACACACCAAATGTGCTAAACTCATTGAGAATCCACTATGTGTCAGGCACTTGTGACCTGTTAATCTGTTTACCAAGGCAGAAGTTTTGGAAGCCTACTCAGTAGGCATCCATGAGTTTTTGTCTTCTGTGCAGGTGTATCTATAGTGTGCAAATTTCATTTAATGATCACCCACTATGTGTTTGGTATTTTAAATATGCCATTTCTAATCCACATAACTCCAAGAAGTAGGAAATGGTGTACTAATCTTACAGAGGAAGAAACTCAGGCTCAGGAGTCAAAACTTGCCCATGATAACAGAGCCATTTTTACAGCTGGAATTTAGTCTTCAATGCCTTAGCTCTTTCTGCTAAACTTTTTTTCAGTTCATTCCTTTGTAGGTAATAGCAGTGTTATGGGTTGGATTGTGTCACCAAAAAAGAGA